GACATCTGTTCATTTTTGGTAGTACAATAGCCACTCCGTCTTCTTCTGATAATAGCACCCCAGCTTTCTTCTGGGAGTTCCCTTGTCCCTCACTCTCAAGCCACGGGCTTCAGTTCACCCCCAGCTCTGTGGTGGGACATATGACCTAGACCAAGCCAATCAGACCCCTTCATTCCCAGAGCCATGTGATTGGTTCAGAAATGACTAGGAGACCCAAACATAGGAGACACACTGAAATGCTGGCTGGACTGCTGGGACCAAAACATGCCCTCTCATGTCAGCCTTAAATCTGGGAAAATAAGAAGTTGGCATTACAGTGGCCCAACTTGCTACCACACAGACAGAATCTTTCTGAGAATGGAACCCACACTGAGGAAGAAATGCCAAGAGTTGCAGAGAAAGAAACTAGATTCTGGTGCCATCTGATTCTTGGGGCAAAGCCACACTTGAGTGCCACCATATCCCTGGATTTTCCATTTAAATCAACCAATAAATTCCTTACTGGCTTAAATCAATTGGCTGTTCTGTCACTTACTACTGAAGGGTTCTGGCCTTTATTATCATAATTAACATTATATAAATTATATCAATTACCGTTCTACCAATTAGCATTGTATCATAATGATTCCTTTTGCCCCACCCACCCCAAACCATGATTTCTTGAAAACCTGAACCATCGTGACCTGAGTGTATATCCTCAGAGTCTGGCACAGAGTCTGCCCACCATGACAATTTATTAAAGGGCAACTATCCCAAATCCACACTTTCCATGGAAATACATGCAAATGCTCAAATGCCGCTCTGGATAACAGTCACTTGGTTGAATAATGGAGTCACTTTTCCAGAATGGTCCTGACTCTACCAGTTCCATATCACACATTGACTACTTACATACACATACACACACACACACACACACACACACACACACACATACCCCTCTTACATATACCCTTACACGCCACACTCTCTACATGCACACACAAACCCCTCATACATACACATTCACACCCTCCATAAATGTACACACGCTTAGACACATAGCCTTTATTCATTCACACACCATAAATATATCTTTGTATGCACACCTACACACACACAAGCACACATTACACATCACACACTCTACATACACACACATACCATACACAGAGGTACCCTGCAAACATTCACGTGCACACATTAGACACACACATATTCACACCTTCCATAAGCACACACACACTCTACATACATTCACACATGCACACACTAGCCATGCACCTTCTCCATGAACACACACTCTATGCACACACATCCTTCATACACACACCTGTCACACATATACACTCTCCATACACACACACACACACACACACACACACACACACACACACATAGAGTAGAACCTGATCAGACACCCCCGGACTCTCTCTGGCCATGAGCAGTGTCTCTAAAATCTTGCTCCTAACAAGTGAGAATGGCTCAGAGCGACCTCAGGGCCCAGAGGATGGTGCTGCCCAGGTGGCCCGGTGGCTGGGTGCACAGCCCTCCCACTCTCCCTGCCCTGCCCAGATTCCTCACCATGTGGTAGCTGTGGGCACCTGTCTGCAGGAGCAGCTGCTGCAAGGTGCTGATCATCTTGCGACGCCGGCGGCTCTCCTCTCGCACACCCTTGAGCTCATCAGCCTGGCGACCCAGCTCCTGCTGACCGCGCTCCTGCTGGCCCAGGCTGGCCTGCAGCCGCGCCTCCAGCTGGGCAACACTGGCACTCAAGCAGTCCTGGCAGTGCAGCAGGTACTCAATGATGAGCTGTGCCAGGCGCAGCACCTTGAGCAGCACTGGGTCCACAGGCTGCCCACAGCGGCTGCATGTCTCCCGGTCCAAGTTGCAGAAAGTGACTCCAGCGATGTTCTCCTGCAGGGTGGCCACATCCAGCTCCCGTGCCACACGGTCCACATCCAGGGTGCTAATGCGCCTCCAGTCTATGCTCTCATGGCGAAGCTGGAACTTGAAGGTAGGGAATGTGTAGGCCCCAAAGAGAGGACCACTGAGGCCTTCAGCAGTGGTAGCAGGGGACTGCATGGGTGAGGGAAGTCCTGGGCTGACCACTGCAGGGCGGTGCCACCAAGGCCACGGTAGCCAGCAAAGGAGCTGAGAGAGGGCCTGGAAAATGAAAAGAGATTCCAAGTTAGGCAAGGTGTGTGGGCTGCATGTACCGTACACCTGGCCGGCAAGAACCTAAGTGGGGTGAGGTGAGGCATCTGAACAACAGCTGGGGTATGCATGGTATGCACTGACATGGGCACAGCCATGGAAAGCAAGGGCGTGGGCTTTACAATAACACAGATGTGGATTCAGATACTCAGCCTTGGGCAAGGCCCTTCACATCTTTAAACCTCCTCGGTACACTGGGGATCACAGGGGTCACGGGGCTCACTTTGCAGGTTTGTGGTTAACAATGAGGCGGGTGAAGCACCCAGCCTAGTGCCTGCACATAGTAGGTCCTCAACAAACGTCCCCTTGCCCAAGTCCACAGCCAAAGGTCTTTGTCAGGGGAAAACTTTCAAATGTATAAGTAGGTCCTTCAGGATAAAGTCCAACAACTTGCCATGGGTGGCAGAGCCACCTAATGTACACGACATTCCTTCCTCTCCTCCTGTAATTATAAGATCATAGTGGACAGGGGTAGGCTACATTTCCCAGATTTCCTAGCAGTAAGGTGTCATCATATGACTATGTTCTCTCTAGTGAAACGTGAGTGAAATGATGTCCACCACTGCTGGGAGGAGGTAACAGGAGAGGGGACAGTGGTGCTGAAGAGAGTGGCCATGTCTCTGCACGCAGATTATGCTCAGTCCATGATGATATTTTTTCTCAAACCTAATTACAATTTATCCTACCAATAAACTCAGACAAGTGTGCAAAGTTGCTTGTGCTAAAATTGTCATTGTAGCATTGTTTATAATAGCAAAGTATAAGAAAAAGTACAAGAAAGCCGAGAACAAAGTACACTAGGGGATACAAATGTTATCTCTATACAATGAAATACTTTGGCTATTGATGAGAATAAGGCTGTTTTACGTGTACTAAAATGGAATACTTATCACACACACACACACACACACACACACACACACACGAGGTCTGCCAATTAAGTTTGTGAACTTTTTGCAACGATCTGCTAACCTTTTTTGATATCAGAGAGATTATTCATCATGAATTTGTACCAACTGGACAAACAGTTAACCAGGTTTACTATTTGGAAGTACTGAAACGGCTGCATGAAAAAGTTAGACGACCTGAACTTTTCGCCAACAATTCAGGCTCTTGCATCACAACAATGCACCAGCTCACACAGCACTACCTGTGAGGGACTTTTTAACCAGTAAACAAATAACTGTATTGGAACAATCTCCCTACTTACCTGATCTGGACCCCAATGACTTCTTTCTTTACCCAAAGATAAAGGAAGACATTTTGATGACATTCAGGACATCGAGAGTAATATGACGACAGCTCTGATGGCCATTCCAGACAAAAAGTTCCAAAATTGCTTTGAAGGGTGGACTAGGCACTGGTGTTGGTGCATAGCTTCCCAAGGGGAGTACTTCTAAGGTGACCATAGTGATATTCAGCAATGAGGTAATCTGTGAACTTAATTGTCAGACCCCGTGTGTGTGTGTGTATGTGTGTGTGTGTGTGTGTCTAATTTCATAAGCATAGACTATTTCTAGAAAAGTAAACAAGCTGTTAGCAATAGTTACCAGTTACTTCTGGGAATGGAAATAGAGACTGAGGACCTTTATCTTCCACTTTCCACTATCTCTATACTATTCAAAGATCTTTGCATCATCAATTACTTTTAATTTTTTTTAAAGAAAAAATATAATTTCTGTCCTTGAAGAACTTAGAATCTAGAGCAACAGACAGTACATATGACCCTATTTAATCAAATTATTTCTAGATCGTGTCATTCAGATATTTAAATGCAACAGAAAGTCAGAGAAGAGAAAGGTCATTGACCTTATAAAGGAGAAAGGCCTTGAAGAAATGATGGGACTAGGTTTGCAAAGAAAGCAAGGGCCTCCAGGAAAGGGCCTGATGGCCTTCAGCCTCTTCATTTGGGAAAGGCAGTGATAGGCCTGCCCGCCTATCCCCAGGATGCTGTGAGAACTAGAGGAAATACAATTCCCGTTTTACAAACAAGTAACCTGATGTCTGCAGAGGTTAAGTGGCTTGTCCCACGTAGGGAGGCCAGGGTTGAAATACAGTTAAAGATGCATCTGGCTCCAAAGCTTGTGGACTGTGAGCTACCCAACGTGATTCTTGACGCTATTTGTTCTAAAAACTTGTTTTGATCACATCATCACTACTTATCCCTCAAACTCATTCATTCGTTCACTCACTCCCCGCTCATTTACAGCATGGCTACTGGGGCCAGGCCCAGTACTACTGAGGTGTATTAACCACGCACCTTCCTGTCCATCCAGGAACTCAGTGTGGCTCCTTGTTGCCACTGTACTGAGTCCAAACCCTAAGCCTGGTCTGGAAGACTGCCCACAGGATGCCACTGACACACCTTTTCCATTTCATCTCCTATGCTCCCCTTTCTCAGATACTCTTCCCCAACACATACTCCAAAAATAAAACACTCCAGCCACAGCACCCATGGCCATGAGGAGAAGACCAGCACATTTCTACTTAACATATTGTGTTTCAAAAAAAAAAAAAAAAAAGGTGGAAAGGCAGGCGAGATGATACTCACCATGCTCAACTTCAAACTGCAACTGTGTCACCGGGGCCTCAGAAACAATTGCCACAACAAGCCGTGTCTTGGAACAACAGCAGGTTACCAGGCATGCTGTGGGCATGGGTAACAGGACACCTGCTTCCCGTCCTCCTGCAGACCAGAAGCTCACCTGAGAATGCACTGTTTAACTATTTAAGCTTTGGCTTCAGATGCCCACAGTCCTCTGTCTAATCGTAAGACCAAAAACACTCCATCAGCAACTTTCTCGGCTCTCCTCCCATCCCTTTGAATGCTCCTTCCAGCCTCTTCCTTGAACAGTTTCACCCCTCCTTTAAGACACAGGGTGCCAGTGCCCCCGTGATGTTGTCCTGTTCACCCATGACGCATCTCTCCCTGCACACTCTCCCTGGAGATAAGCTCAAACAACCACAGCTTCAGCTACCATAGGCCTGCTTTAGGCTGAGCCTGAGCCTCTCCCAAATCTCTTTCTTACTGGCCCATCTGTCTCTTGGGACCTTCAGATCAAATCTTCCAATACTGATAATACCAGAAATTCTAAATCCAAATTCTGATGCAGGAAACATGCCAGGTATAAAAGAAACCACAGCGTAAGCTTGGTGGTAAATGGCAACTGATTCTCCATCTTAGTGTCCAAGATACAATCAGGCAGAGGTTCTCAGGTTTGCTCTCTGGACCAGCAGCACCAGCAGCACCTGGGACCTTGTGAGAAACACACATCTCCAGGTTTATTCATTCAGGGCCACTGCAGCAGAGAGTGTTGGGACAGGGAGTGCTGGGGTTGTGGCGAATGGGAGGACAGCCACCAATGAGCTTCAGCCACATGGGAAATGATTGTGTTCCTCAGGAGCTAATTCAAATTCATTAAGAAGACATCCAAAGACGTCTATGAACTGTTTTCAAACTACGTTTCTAGCTGCATCTCCACTTACCATATTATTTGCTGTCCACACTTTCTTATCTCTGGGCTATTTATTTATAGGCACTGTTCTTAAGTGCTTTGTAAAGAATAACTTGTGTAATCCTCAGAACACCCCCTTGAGGAGATACTATTCTTATCTAAGCCACAAAGAAGTGAAGAAGTTTATCTGCAGGTAAAGGAGGCAGGATCCAAACCCATGCAGTCATGTTACAGTCTGAACTCTTAGCCACTATGCCATGCTGCCTCTTGGTTGAGAGGGCCCTCCGCCATGTCTTTCTGCTCTTACTGAAGGTGAATGCATGCCTTCAAGGGCTTGCTCATGCATGATCACTACTCTAAATCCCTTCCAGGCCCACAGGCAGAATTCCCCACCCCTCTCCTGGGCTCCCAGAGTGCAGAGCATACACTCCTTTGGTCACCCTCACCACATTCTGGTCTGATGTGGGGTGGCTGTGCAGCAGTCATTCATTCATCCCATCAACAAGTGATTCCTAAGCCCCTACTAAGTGCCAGGCACCATGACAGACAATACTAGGGATTGATGGTGATTCAGGCAACAGTCCCTGCCATTGTTAACAGAAATAATTAACAGTTCTGGAACTGTGTCCTCCACACACGGTTATAAGGCTTGACACGTATTATCTCATTTAACTCTCACAACAACCCTGTATACAAATGAAGAAACTGACATGAACAAAAAGGGTGAAAGTCTTTCCCAAAACTACACAGCTTAGTAAGTGATGGTGTCTGGCCCCACAGTTTGTTCTCCAGAAAGACAGAAAAATACACAGAAATTACCCTACAGAGTGGTAAGTGCCAGGGTAGGAACTAGGACAAGGTGCTATGAGAGTACCAAGAAGGGGCCATACCAGGGCATTTCTGTGTCCTTTCTCCCCACCCCGCCCCCAATCCCCCTGCTATGAGCTCCACAAAGGCTGAGACCTTGGCTGATTCACACCTGTTGTACTCCAGCCCCTAGCATATTACCTGCAGTCCAGATTTCTATTGAACTGAGCAGAATTGCCAAAATCTTAGAATACCTGCATCAAAATTCTACATTCTTGGGGTCTTGGAGAAATGAGGCTAGGACCAGCAAGAATTAGGATAAAGAATAAGAATGGAGTTAGGAATTCTTAATTTGGACTCCTGAGAGAGAAATGCCATTTAGATTTAGTAAAATGGTTGATTTGTTAACCATCTATGTCCATAGCTTAATCACATGGGCTACTAATGAAAGTTTAGAGTGCAGGAGCCCTTGTGGGTGGGCTTCAGTGAGAAGCCCCAGAGCCTACACTCAATGTCAAGTTGTGGCCACAGCGTTCTAGCCTGCCACCTAAGCAGCCCTAAAACCCTCACATTGACACTGAGCACACTCTGTAAATACTGAGGGCCACAGCCCCAGTCCCAGCTATACAGAATTCTGAATTAGGGATCTGACTTCATGAGGTTTTACTGAGCCCCAAAAGTATCACTCCTGTCTCCCATAGAATCCCAAGTGTCCAATTCTCAACATTCCTACGGGTCTGACATCAAAAGGTGAGAACTGTGGGAATTTGATGTATATGACGACGATAGCATTTATTAAGCATCTATGTGCCAGGCACTGTGCAAGCCTTAAAAAGTGCTATTTCTAGCTGCCACACAGTCTTGTAGCAGCTTTGATTTGCCTCATCAGAAAAAAAAATGCAAAAACTGAGACTCAGAAAAACTAAGGGACCTTCCCCAAGTCACTCAGCTACTACGCAATGAAGCCAAGATTCAAATCAAATTCTGACTCCAACCAAAGCTTTTAAATTATGCCAAACTTTCTAATGATCATGATGATAAGACAGAAATTATCTCCCATTATAAAAATTACAGTGCCTGAGATTTCTTGATCAAACTGCAAGGACTGAGTTTACAGCGAATCACAACAGGGTCAGGGCTGGAGACCTTAAATCCTCCCTGTATCTCAGCAAACTCAACTCAGCAGCTTGCATCCAGGTAGGATGGGCAGAAGACAAAGCCAGGGGAGAATGCTGCAGGTTACCTAGAAACCACATACCCCAGGGGGTGGGGTGGGGGGGCCAGTAACACCCTGCTTTCTCCAGACTGAACTAGCAGCAGACTGTTTTTCCCATCTGGGAACAGAAACACAGGCAGGAATGACTCACTGTCATTAGGAAATCTGAAGCTGTGTTAACCATCTCTAGATGTTTTAATGGGGTCCCAGGAAACTTCCCAATCCTAGATCAATGTCATAAATTAATGGGACCCGAAAGAATGATATTTATGCTAGCATTCCAAATTCACTTCATGGTTGAAGAGATCATTTCTACCTGGGGCAATCCTACAGCCAAGAAAGGAAGCCCATCTATGTCCTAGCTTTGCATATTCCCAGCGACGGGGTGTTCACCACCTCACAAGGCAGTCATCCCACTGTGAAGCAATTCCTGGAGACTTTATGGTTCTGAAACCTGCCCATCTATACTCTGTCAAAGATAACTTCCACAAAATATACCAAACAGCTGACTTTTAGATGAAATTCTGGCTGACTTTTTAATATAAATTGACAGCTATACTACACTACCAGGGCTGCATCTTCCTGTCTCTTCTGCTTCCTCAAGAATGAAGCCAAGAGAAGCACATGGAGGGAGCCAAGCTTCCAAGGCTTCTGCCAGGCGATCATTTACAAGCCTGCCCTGGCTCCCAACTAATTTCAGTGGTGCCTGCCCCGGGGAGCTCAGGCGTGTCATTAGTGCTAATTGTTGCGGCTGCCAAGGTAACCTTCACACAGTTTGCAAACAGGCTGTGCACACACCATAGGCAAGGGAGCAGGGGAGACCCCATCGGAGATAAGAGCGACCCAGGAGCTCTCCTGGGTCACTGTCATTACAGACCTTAGACTTCTCTGATTCTGTTGTTCTCTAAAGAAAGGAGTTCCCCTTTCCACTCTTTCTTTCCCTTCATGGAAGCTAC